GGTGTATAGTGATGGGAAATCAACAACCTGTGTTGCCTTTATTCTGGCAATGTATAAGGAATCTGGAGTCTTTGGTTCTCTAGCTGAATCCATTCAAGTAACCGAGTTCACTGTAAGTTTTAGATCCATGTCTCAGTTTTTATATTTCTAGACTAGAGAAAGCTTCCTTCTTGCCACCAATTAGCATCCGTTCTCACCTGAGCGCCCCCTATATATATATATACTCGTGATCAAATGAGTCCACCCCCTTCCTATGAGTCCGTGTGGACAGATCTGGGCCATTGAATGTTTGAGATCAATGACTTAGATTTTGCCAATTTCATAGTTGCACAGTTGGCGAAATCTAAATCCATTGATCTCAAGCATTCAATGGCCCAGATCTGTCCACACGGACTCATGGGAAGGGGTGGACTTACCTGAACAATGGCATATATATATATATATATATATAGAGAGAGAGAGAGAGAGAGAGAGAGAGAATTTTGTGTTTGGTGGTTGTAAAGTTAGGGCTCACGTCTTCAAGTCTACGACTAAGTTGTCTTACCACGGGAAATTGTCGACCACTTTGTCGGGTTGGTGGTCAGTAATACTGAGAAATAAATTTATGTTTTTGGGGATGTCAAGGAAAACTCGCAGCCACTACCCGAGGTCTGAGGGGTGTACACTCGCCTTTCTGACCTTAGTCGATAAAGGACCACAAGGTTACAACTTACAAGTTTTACACACACACACACACCTAGTAGGAGGGGTTTATTTGGCTTTCTTCTTGTGGATTCCAAACAATTTTGTATCAGAAACCTTTGATTCCCAGCAATGTACTAATAATACCCTTGTTGCATTCTCATGGTTCCAGATTAGAGATGCCTACATGCTCAAAATTTACGAGAATAACCAGACACGCCTTCCGAGCTGGTGTAACAGCGGGAACGACAAGCTCCCCTTCTGCCAGATCGTTGGCGAGTATCGGATGGAACTCCCAGGGTACAACACATTGGAGCCATATGCCAACATGAATGAGAATTGCCCTTCTTTACCCCCAAGCTATGAGAGGCCTATCCATTGCTAAATGTAATAATGTATGTTTGTAAAAGACTACGTTAGACAACCTATGTATGTGAGGCTTTCATCTTGGACCAGGTTTCCCTCGTTTGATTTCATGCTAATCCGTAATTTCAATCTATGTACATATGTAGTGTGTAATATACAATGTATGTATTATCAACAGCTTATGGCAAATTGTTCTATTTGTAAGACAGATGGTGAATGCTGTTGGTCTTATAAATAAATGGATAGACCCCTGCAATTTGTGAGTGTGTAAATTGATCGCCCCTTGTATTATTGTTCATAGAATATATCATTCAATTCGATATCAGAATAGATGGACGCTAAACATTCAGTAGAGATATGAAAATTTATGTGAGATCATTTTACGTTATCCATACTTGTTGAACTGTGTTATAGACTTGTTATTGTTGACCGAGGCCCTTATACTCAATTGTTATATCATAGAATAGGGTCAATCTTGCAATATGGATTCGATATGTTTATTTTCAGTATATTACATATTCATTTAGTCTGTATATTAAAAATAAACTTATATACTAATTGAGAATGACAAATTTTTGCATATTTTTGATCTGTGGACACTTATTGTGATTGTTCTTTAATTTACGAAAAAATCTATAATCGCTATTTCATGCTATGAGTGCCAGTAGCATTATGACCATAAGGACCAACTTAGGTTGCTCTGACTAGCTCAAATCATTAGGTTGTTCTGATTAGTTTAAATCATTAAGGTCAATAGACAATTCTTACATAAAATCAAATGTGAAATCTTATTATTAATAAACAAATCACCCAACAAACTTTGATATTGTCCAATGTTAATGATTTTATGTAGCGAGATCAATACTATACAAGTGACAATAATAATAATTGTACACTAACAAAATTTAAATACAACACTAAATTGAACAAATTACACTATACAAAGATAAATAAGTAAATAACAACATAGATAAAGAATTTGCAGGAAAGAGATTACATAAACCCGACAACCTTAAACTCCATGAAACCATTTATTTATTTATTTAATTTTTAATTTTATTTTTTGGTTTTGAGTTTGTGGTTTCTGTATTTGATCTTGAGCCAATTAACCCCAACAGAAGCCCCTTTCTTAACCTGTTTGTAGCCTACGGAAGCCGCCGCCTTCGTCTTCTCAAGTCCTCTCTCAAACTTCTCCGACAGCTTCTTAGATCCGCCGCCGCCGCCGCCGCTTGTCGCCCACGGGTTCTCCGGCGCCGACATGACACCTGATCCAAATTCTCGATCTTTTGAGGGGATATGATGCTATGTATGGGAGAAATCTTGAACTTTTGGGTTTGTTAGTTGACGAGGTTGTTCTTATCCGAATTTAGGATTGAAGATTATTGTAAAGAATGGGGAGTTTGAAGTTCTAGAAGAACACAGATTAGTTGATTATATTAGTATATGTATTGCGTGTGCGCGTGTGTCACGGTTGTGTTTATTAATCTTCTCGAATAGACTAGAATATATGTTTAAGATTGAGCTGAGGCGGCATGGGCGGACCGCGTGTAGGGGAGACGCCTATTCTTGACCAACAATATTAGCATATGCACATCATTGACCAAAGCTTTCATATCTTAGAGGATAAAACATGATTATATGAAAAGGTTACGAATTACGAGTTTGATTCTTAATAACATTTTATCATACTTTAATTTATAGCATATAAAAGAATGACTTCCGTAACAATGAGTTGAATGTGGGTTTATATTTTTAGTCTATTTTGTGTCCACAAAGTTTGACTACCTAAAATTTTCAAGGGGTGTTTGGATTGGTGAGTTTGACTAATGAGTTTGACTAGTTGATAACATTAATTTAATGTAGAAAAATGTTTCGTAAATTAATTATTAAATTATAGTTGATTACATGTAAAATTATTTTCTCAAAAAATTGATCTAAAAAGCCGTTCTTTAAATTTTAACATTTTGAGAAATAAGTTACAAAAAGGTAATTAATTAAACATTTATATTGAACATTGAATGTTTAACCAAGTCAAACAACTAATAATGGTCAATTGAGACAACATTAGTGATAAGCTAACTATGTCACCAAATAGGGCCTTTAACTCTGGCTTTACAATTGTATTAGCAATATGCTTATCAACCATCTTAACTAGTTTATATATATATATATATATATATATATATATATATATATATATATATATATATATATATTGTTGACTCAAAGTATTTTGTCAAAGTTATTTGCAAAAAAAATTCCAGTTCTATAAAGGAATATCAGTACTAAGAGGAATAGTTATTGAAGAATACTAGTTCTAAGGGGATTTGTTGTTGAAGATTTTCTAGTTCTATTTTGATTAGGAATAGTTTGTTATTCACGAATCTGTTAGGAATAGCTACTATAAATAGGGGATGTCCTTTATTGTAGATCTCAAGCATTCAACATCTAATTGTGAGGTACGAGAGTCTTTGAGAATAGGATACTAAATTCCCCTAGAAAGTAGTACATGTGTTTAGGTTTCAATAGTTTGGTAGGAAAGATCATTCTATTGTGTAATCTCAGGTTCCAAACAGTGTACTTTAAATATTGAGCTTTTAGTGGATTTAGGCAAGTTCTCAAATTGAGAAGTGCCTCGCAGATTAGGGTTGTTTGCCCGAACTGCGTTACAGATTGTTTGTGTTACAACGTCAGTTTCAACATCACTGTGTGCTGCGCTTTACAAATTTTCAATTGGTATCAGAGCCAAACTGCTTAAGTTATTAGCAGGATCCTAATGGAGTTTCCCAGAGAAGGACTGTCAAGCACCAGGCCCCCTGCTCTCTTTGGTACAAATTTCTCCTACTGGAAAGCTAGAATGAAAATCTATATTTTGGCACAAGGAGAAGGAGTTTGGGATGCCGTTGAGAAAGAATGGAAGAATCCAGTTGATGATAAAGGTAATCAAAAACCTAAAACAGAATGGAATGAAGAAGAGCGAAGGGAATATAATTACAATTCAAAAGCAATGAATGCCATCTATGGAGCGGTAAGTGAAGATACTTTCAAACTAATCGCTACCACTGGCATAGCTAAAGTTGCATGGGATATACTATGTGATCATCACGAAGGAAATACTTCTGTTAAGCAATCCAAGCTGCAAATGATACAAACACAGTTTGAGAATTTAAAAATGGAAGAAGATGAGGATATCTCACAGTTTAGTGCAAGAGTTTTAGGGATTGCTGGAGATGCGTTTAACCTAGGCGAACCTATTCCTGAACCTAGGCTCGTCAAAAAGGTCCTACGTTCCCTACCTGAGAGATTTATGATAAATGTTACAGCCATCCAAGAAAACAAAGATCTAAACACCTACAAACTCAGTGATCTAATGGGAAATCTTCAAACATATGAGCTTGAGATACTGCAAAAAGGGAAAAATAATGACAAAGGAATTGCGCTCCAATCAAAGCAGAAAGAGAGTCCAGAAATTGATACTGAAACCATGGAACAATCAATTGCTCTCCTAACAAAGAATTTCAATAGAGTTCTCAAAAAATTCAACAAATTTAGAAGCAAAAGTGCTTCAATCAATCAAGGGAACTTCCCAACTGGACAAAATCAATCTATTTCAAAAGGAAGGGAGAGTCTAAAACCTGAAGGAATTCAGTGCTACGAGTGCAAAGGGTTTGGACACATCCAGTCAGAATGTCCAACATATTTTAAAAGGAAGAACAAAACATATGTGGCAACACTAAGCGATGACTCAGATAGTGAAGAAGACACCAACACTAATTTCGTAGCATTCACCGCAAATCATGAGAATGACAACGGAAACGAAAATGATATGCAAGAACTGCTAGAGTCATATACCCAATTGTATGCTAAATGGGAACAAATCATCAAAGTGAATCTAGAGCTCATGCAAGAAAATCAGTTTCTAAAAGGTGAAAAAGAGAGAGAAGAAAAGCGTCTCAAAGAAACTCAAAATGAATTATTAGAATCTAAAAACAGAGAGGCCAAACTGTTACAAGAAATCAAGGCACTAGATGGAAGGCCTAGATCTCCAAATCCAGCGTCCAGTGAAAGCCACTCTTCTGAAAATCCTGAGGTGTCACAACATCACTTTCAACACCGAAGGAGAATCAGATGTTATTACTGCCACAAATTGGGACACATAAAGGCGTACTGCTTCAAAAGACAAAATGATCTCTATTACAGACAAAACAACAGAGATTGGGCAGTACAAAGCAAAAATAACAGCAAGAAAGTATGGGTAAGAAAGGAACAAACACAAGCTGTTGCGTATACCTCAGAAACAAGCCAAGAACAAAGTGTTTGGTATTTTGACAGCGGATGTTCAAGACATATGACAGGAAATCCACATTATCTTGAGAATATCCAATACAAAAATGAAGGGCATGTCACTTTTGGAGATGGAAGAAAAGGACAGATTATCGCAAGTGGTACCTTGAATGTCCATGGACTGCCCAGATTACCAAGAGTCTTTTTGGTACAGGGACTCAAAGCAAACCTTATCAGTATAAGTCAACTGTGTGATGATGAACTCAAAGTAGAATTTTCCAAAGAGAATTGTAAAGTCTACAACCAAAAACATGAATGTGTTATGATGGGGAAAAGATCATCTGATAAAAGCTACACATGGGATGGTGATCTAACCTGTCATTAATCTACCATCAATCAAACACCACTGTGGCATCAACTAAGGGGGAGAAAGACAGAGACCAAGGTGTTTGCCAAAAATTTGACAAAGGGGGAGAATGTTGACTCAAAGTATTTTGTCAAAGTTATTTGCAAAAAAAAATTCCAGTTCTATAAAGGAATATCAGTACTAAGAGAAATAGTTATTGAAGAATACTAGTTCTAAGGGGATTTGTTGTTGAAGATTTTCTAGTTCTAATTTGATTAGGAATAGTTTGTTATTCACGAATCTGTTAGAAATAGCTACTATAAATAGGGGATGTCCTTTATTGTAAATCTCAAGCATTCAACATCTAATTGTGAGGTACGAGAGTCTTTGAGAATAAGATACTAAATTCCCCTAGAAAGTAGTACATGTGTTTAGGTTTCAATAGTTTGGTAGGAAAGATCATTCTATTGTGTAATCTCAGGTTCCAAACAGTGTACTTTAAATATTGAGCTTTTAGTGGATTTAGGCAAGTTCTCAAATTGAGAAGTGCCTCGCAGATTAGGGTTGTTTGCCCGAACTGCGTTACAGATTGTTTGTGTTACAACGTCAGTTTCAACATCACTGTGTGCTGCGCTTTACAAATTTTCATATATATATATATATATATATATATATATATAAATCATTATTACTTGAGTTATATTTATATATATTATTCGATGTTGGAGAATTTGAATTTAGAGGTGAAATAGTGTAAAATTTGATTGTTTAGATATAATAAATAATTAAGGATGACAAAAATTAAGATTGATATAATTTTAATTTATGACCGGTAAAAAGGTCTCTTGGTGTTACTTGGAGATGGATTTTACAAGTATACACTCCGTCTCAATTTTAGCAAAGTAACAACTCAAAAATTTAGTCTTATATATGTATTATTATAAGTGCTAAAATGACATATTTGCACATTTTGGTGAATTTGTATTCTAAACATAGCCAATAGAAGAGGAAAACGTTTATGGATATAGATAGAGATGGCAACAGAGTGACCGGCAGGGGACTGAGAGTAAGTCCCCATTCCCAAAACTCTGACCCATTCCAATCAGAATTAAAAATAATCCTCATCTCGATCCCGTTTCAATTCCAGTTTCACCTATAACTTTTTTTTTTTTTTTTTCAAAGTTCATCTTTAAAATAAATTAAATAGGGTAGCTTGAGCCTTGAGGGGTAGTAAAATATAGAGTAAAAAAAAAAAGATATTCATCTTGTACAAAACATAATCATTCAAGAAATCATAGGAACGGCCACCTTAATAAGTCGAGAAATAACTGATCCACAACATATACAAACCAAACATACAAGAAGGAATCAATTCAAAGAAAAGAATTCAAGAGATCTGATCAAACAAACGCCATATAAGTACACTAACGAAACATCATATGGATGTTCACTGCTGAAAAATCGTGAATTTTAATTTCTACAAACCAACTTTTCCGACCACCTTAAATTCTTAAAATAAAGTCTAGTGCTTCTGTCTAGACTTTTGGTACTTGTCCTTGATCCAATGGAAGCCAGCAGAAGCCCCAGCCTTGACTTTCTTCACGCCGGTGGAAGCCACCGCCTTCGTTTTATCCAACGTTTCCCCCACCTTGCCGGAAACCTTGGACGACGACCCGCCGCCGTTTCTCCTATCATTTGTCGTCTTGTAGTTGTACAGTGGCTCTGGGTCCCACTGATCCGCCCAAGACGTCTCGTACGAGGTGCTCGACATCATATATAGAAATTGATCCAATATGATCAAACTCGATCGGGATCGCGGACTTTGTTTAAAAGAAATTAATCAAATTTTTTTGTTTCTTGGTTTAGTGTAATGAAGGTTGTTGGCTTCAATGATAAGGTTTAGGGTGTATATATAGACAACGTGGTACAAATTTCGAGACTTTATTTATGAAAAATTAAATTCTTTTGATTTGGAATATCATATTTCATATTTGGTCGGAGAGGACTTTAATGTTGTCCGATCTTGGGAGTTAAGGTTCGAAGATAGCTGGCGGGTAACGAGTTTCAACGAAACGTAGGTGTTAGTAGTTGACTGCTATATTTTATTCTGTAAATTAAATCGAAGGTTCTTAGAATATGGCAGTTCGAGAAAAGTCAAATATGCATATGTTTTACGTGCATGACGGTATAAATTAAAGAAAAGAGAAAAAGAATGGAACAGAACCTTCTAGGTAGTGGTAGTCAAATATTGAAGATATACTAGATGCATGTTCTTCTCCCAAACTTTGAATCTTCAAATCGAAAAGCTCTTACGCTTCAATCCGACAGAGTATTTGGGAGTATATAAATTAGGGTAATTCGATCAATAGCTAATGAAATCAGGTTAAATGTTGATTTGCATTAGGAATCTGTTCCTTTGAGCATAATTTCTACACTATCGCCACGGAGGTTGAAACCTCTTCTCCCAAATACTATCTACTGAACCATTGAGATTAGACCGTGTGAACAAATTAGATACATGTTGGAGTGACTTAGATTATAAAGATCTAGGCAAAACTATCCTATAATTAGATTTGTAAACAATAATAAACGGAGTAGAAAAGGGCAAATTATGCCGTGCATCCGTGTACATCATGCATGGTGTACACGGTTGTAGAGGGGAACATTGAAGATGTGTGTGTTCTAATTCTCTAGCTAGAATATTATGACTAACTTATTGGTAAAAAAAATTGAGATTGGAGCTAGCTATATTCTAAATATCAAAGTTTGAATCCTAAACAGCCCAAAGTTTTAGTCCAAGACCAAAAGATTATTATTATCCACCAACTGAAGCCCAGTCTACTGCACCAATCCTAACAAATAAATATGTCAATAGAAAAAGACTTCCATAATATTCTTCCAAAAGGCTGAACCCCAACCCTAAAGTTTTCATAACATGCATATACCAATGACATCTCTAACTTTAAAATAAAAAATCACAAGTTCGATCCCAATTCTCAAAAATATTTATATTTAGATCAAACATTTATTACTGCACCAAAAACTATAGCGAATAGTGAAGATACAATTTTTTTTCTTATAATTACGTAGCAATCAGTGCCACGTATCGGTAGTAAGATCTGGACTCGTCCTTCCAAGCATTCACCCAATATTTTTGGTACTTTTTTTTAATATATAATTTTTGTGTGTGATAACAAATTTCCTCTGCCAATCAATTAAAATTATACGAATTGAATGCCCATTAAGATGGAAGATATCTATGCCATTTGATCATCCACACCTTCCATAGATTTGGTACTTAAACTCTTTGCGGAATCAAGTTATGTTGAACTCTATTAAGAGAGATATATATTCTTTCATATGCAAGTTTCAGTCAAAATCTAATTGGAGATTCTCTAAGTACTTATCAAAATATTACTCAATGCATAAGATTCACATTCAAGACTTTTTTTTTAAAAAAAAAAAAGAGGAATCGACTTGTTGTTGTTGTTGTTGTTGTTGTAGATGTTGTAACAATATGTTACATTAGGATTTACGATCATGTGATATAAGACTAATCTAGTCGAATTCGAATCGAACTCTTTACTCACTACAATATTTCCATTTTAATTTTAGTTGTTGCACTTAGATTATTTTGGTCAGCTAATTATAAGACCAGTTCTTTAACCATTTTTTATTATGCAACTCGTGACCATATAAGGATAAAATATAGTCTTTTGGCAGAGAATAGTCTCATTCACAACTACTGTCCTATTATCTTACTATAATTAAACTATATACTAAAAGCATGCTAGAATAGAATATATATTCTTATCTTATAAAAAATCTATAAACTAAAGCATGTTGTTAGAATATATATATATATATAGTTTACCAATCAATTTCTATAATTCAAATACCGTTTTATTTGCAATCCAAGTTTGAAAGTTGAGGTCTGCAGATAAAGTCTTTTTAAATTGTAATATTAGTTAAGTGAAATATAATAAACTCCATATTAATTAATTCCATCTAATCCGATGTAGCATTTTTTCTTCTAGTGATAAGGAAAATTCACCGGCCACTGTCACTGCAACAGAATGTACACTATGTAAACTCCACTCTTATGTAATAGCTCACAAATCACACAGGAAAAGTAATTCGTATTAAAAAGATCTGGTACAAAGGATTCGATAGAGAGAGAGTGTTGGCAAGAATCGAACCCGTAATCTTTTTGTCACCTTTGGTAAGTGTGACTTTTTCTTCTCCCAAAAGGTTGAATCCCCAACCCTAAGGGCCCCCCACATCCCAGCCCGACAGAGCATTTGAGATGATGTAAGTGTGACGTTTTCTTATATTGTCAAGAGAGTGAAATAAATCTCTTAGATTGTCGTATTAACATTCAATTGTCAATTTTTGTCAATACTCTCTCGGCCAAATATATCGCATAAGGTCTTTCTAGTACAATTTATCTCTCTTATGTAGTTTGGGAGCTATTATACATGAACAAGATTTACTCAATGCACACTGCACTCTCATCATGTAGCTAGTCACTTTGGCTTTCTCACGTTATCAAAAAAAATCTTAGATAGCTAACTATTAGGAGGTCGTTAAATGACTTGCCGAAACTGAGTAAATTTCTTGGGAGCAAAAAGCGAAATTATATTCCTCATTCACCAAGCTTGTGGAGGAATTAAATTACAATGACTTAGTAATCTCTTTGGTGAAAGGACTCGATGTCTACAAGGAGCTATCCTACAAGAGGGTGAAACTCTCG